TGACCGAGTCATAGTGCTCCAGAAGGTGCATAAGCTTGACTAGTCCATCATTACCCGCACGAATGAATATAATGATGTCATCCACATAAGAGAGGTGCGAGATGGGAGAACCATATCCAATTGTGTTGTAGGTCATCCTCTGGTTCTCACTGACGAAGGCGTCAAGGTATGAGAAAGGTAGTCCGCCACCAGAACAAAAAGTGAGAGGGAGAGGGGATTCCCCTGCCGGAGGCCCTAAGACGAAGAAAAGAAGTCAGTGGGACTGTCAATAACCAGAACTGAGAATGTGCAGTGCTCAACACATGCCTTCACAAAGCTGACCCATCGCTCTGGGAAACCCATCCAGACCAGCACCTCCTTGAGAAAGGGCCACTCGACCCTATCATATGCCTTAGCCATGTCAAGCTTCAGCGTAAGGTTTGGGATTCGCAACCGGCTCGCATGAGATATATCGTGGATCATCTCCTGGGCCAAAAGAATGTTATCACTAATGACTCAATCCTTGATGAAACCACCCTGGTTCGGAGAGATGAGAGAAGGAAGGCGAGGGGCAAGGCGCCCATTAAGAATTTTGGAGATGAGCTTGTTGGTTACATTACATAGGCTGATAGGCCTATAATCTGTATAAGAGCTCTGGCAAGGTCTTTTGGGGATCAAGACGACTGAGGTAGCAGTGAAGGACTTCGGCATCTGGTGACCAGAGAAGAAATCCACCACAGCTTCCTCAACATCAGTCTCAACAAGATCACAACAAGCCTGATAGAATAGAGATGAGAAGCCATCCAGACCAGAGACACTGTTGGGATTAATCCCAAAAACAGCTTCCATAACCTCCTCCCTGCTCGGGAGGTTGCAAAGGCTAACAAGGTCGACCGACTGAGGGATGGTGAGGAAGAATGAAGCATTGAAGCATTGGGGGCCGTAAGCAAGTCCCTGTCTGAGGTGAAGAGAGACTGAAAGTGTGCCACAGCCGACTCCCGTATCTGGGACTTCTGAGTCAGTGATGACCCGTTATCCTCGATACTATGGATATACGACTTGACACGCTTCTGCTTCACAAACCCCTGAAAGTACTTGGTATTACGCTCCCCCTCATCAACCCACCGAACATCAGCCTTCTGCTTTAATAAATCCTCCTCCATAAGAAGATGGAGTTGGTACTCAGTGTGACAGCAGCGCATCGCGGTCCTATTTTCTGGAGTGGAGTCCAGATCATAGGCTCGCTCAGCGTCAGCATAAGCACTCTGAGCTGCAGAAAGGAGCTGGGAAAGATCTCCAAATACTTCTAAATTCCACTGCTTCAACCTGTGTCACAGTCTCTCGAGCTTGGCCTCTAGGTTACGCATCCCGAAGAGCCCAGTCGGCTGTAGCCAAGAATGTTCACTTATTTTGATTTTGATTAATCTATACAATAGTTTAGTTTTCGGTCATATTACATAATAGAATCCATGTACATAGCTTTTTATGTGAAAATTGAGACAGAAGAATAAGATATGTTTTTCTAAACATTTTCTCAAAATTGTACAATATTTATTAATCTATTATCTAACAAAATTATAAAACAGATGCAGACAATCACTCGCTTTTTGAGATACATTAACATTTGAAATTAATTTAAATTCAGTGTTCTTAAAAAGTGATTAAAATTTTGAATTCTAAAATCTTATTAATATATCTTACATTATTTTATCTAATTAATAAAGTAAATAATATCGTTAAAATTTAAGGCAATATAAATGGATAAGTGAATGAGAAATTTAAATTGGGATATACTTTTAAATTTGTGTTTGATCTCAAAAAATATACATACCAATATTTTGTGTGCATACATTGAAATTGAAGATACGTACAAAATCATCTTAAAATCAGATTAGGTTTATTCAACTAGGGGTGGGCAAAGAAACCAAATTTTCCCGTACTGAATCAAACCGAAAATGGTCCAGTTCCGAAAAATAAGGTTGTGAAATATTTTCTTTATTTTTGTCCTGTTCATGGTACCCAACCCTTTTAAACAATGTCGGTACAGACTTGTTGCGGGATGCAGGGGCGGATGCAAATGGGGACGAGGGTGGGCCTAGGCCCACACTCAAAATTTTCGGATGAAATGCTGTTTGTAGGAGGAAATAATGCTTTTGCCTTCCAGTTAATGAGTGTAATCTATATATATATATATATATAATAAGAATTACTATTTATCAAAAATAGCAAGTCAAATCTGTAGTCAAAGCCTCTTATCATTAATGACTTGCCATTAATGGCAATTAATATATTTTTTTAAACACAACGTTAAATGCAGTCCATACCATGTGGAGTTTGTTGCATTAGATGACCAAAAAACAGGGATTGTTTCATTAGTTTGTTAAGCATTAAAAAATCCATACCAGTACATTAATTTGTTACATAAAATCCCGTGTTGCCCCTTTATTATTTTCACAAAAAGTTGATACATTTTTAAACATATCATAGCGCTATTGCATGTTAATTTTTTATTTTTCTCAGATTCTAAAACTTATAGAAAGATAAATTCGGAATAGAATTTAAATATTTGGCAGTATTTATTTTTTAATAAAAAAATGGCTGATTAAATAAAAATAGATTTTTTTTTTTAACAGCAAATGGCTAATATAATTGTAATGATTGGTGAACAAAGAATAAGTAAAACTGTTATTTTCTCTTATATCAAGGAAAATATATATACTAAAATAAAATGTATATTAGTATAAATGTATTAGTGAGATAATATATTAATTATATTACAAGCTAGCCCCAACATACTCATATTTAATGTTATGGCTAAAAAAATAATGTTGATTAAAAAAAAGTGAAAAAGATATTATAACCCTATTGTATTTTAGACTTAACGTTTATTAAAAGAGGTAGAGAATAGATGTTAACCCTATTACATTTTAGTCATAAACAGACAGGACCTGTGAAAATAACTCATTTAATATTTCTATTCCGTGCATCGTACGGGGTACGTACTAGTTGTCTTTATAACAAGAATCATTGCTTCGTAATACTTATTTACCTTTAGTAGTGCATGTCCATCCTTTTTTATTTCTTTCTTTTCCATGTTCTATTATTTATTTTTCATGTAATTTTTATTGTCTTAGCCTTTTTTAACATAACAAAATTATCTTGTAGCAGCGTTATAACACATATATTACACGGGTGTTACCTGAAATTTTATACTTAAAAATTAAAAGATAAAAGTATTTATTCAAATTTTTATATACTAGTTGTATTCCCACTTATTATTGTTCATATCTAGAAACATAATTATTAGCTTTCTTTTCTAATATATTAATTCATTGCATCTAAATTGCTTATGAAAATTCCTTATCACGATTATCTTGAAATACACGTTAATACATTAATAAATTTTAAGTTTTGATGATTTTAGCAACAAAATATTTTGGAGGATAATTATTTTTTCAGCAATCAATAAATATTGTTTGGAATGAACATGATTCACAAATCTATACTTATATTAAAAGGTATACCATTTACCGGATTTAGTATAAAGAAAAGTCAACAACATTTATTTCATTACTATTTCCGTATTATACAATCTATACTTATATAAAAGGAGATTCTATTTACTACATTTACTATCCAGAAAAGTCAACTGCATTAAATGCCATTACTATTTTGGTATTACAATATTTTATTTATTTAATTGATTTATTTATTTGTTTTATTTTAAAAAGGTATGTATAATAAAAAGATTTTAATAATAAAAAATCAGATATCAAATAAAAATGTACGCTTTGACTTATTTGATTATATTTGGTATTTGATTATACCAAATATATTCCTATTTAGTATATACGTTAAATACTTACTAAAGTATTTATTTGTTTTATTTGTCAAAGTTAAGTATAGATTTGTTTATATTATCAAATCATAAAAAAATATTAAACCTATATTGTAAAAAAAAAATCATATAATTTTATAACAATTCTACTACACTATTTAACAATATTTTTTTATTATATAATAAAATAATAATTAAATATTATATGGTGAACAACAATAAGTAAAACTGTTACTTTCTCTTATATCAAGGGATAAATTTATATGCTAAAATTAAAGTTTTATTAGTATAAATGTTTTAGTGAGATAATATATTAATTATTTTACAAGCTAGCCCTAACATGCTCATATTTAATATTTTAAAAGATGTAGAAAAAAAATTTTATAATAACTCTATTGTTTTTTAGACTTAAACGTTGATTAAAAGAGGTAAAAATTCTTAATTTTTTAGACTTAAACGTTGATTAACACCATAAATTGAGAGTTTATATTTAGTAAAATTCCTAATTGTAATAAAAAAAATAATTTTTGCTATATTTTAGAATATCTTTAAATTCATTATAAAAAAAAATAGAAAAAAAACTACAATGAAAAAAACAAGTTAGCTATATATCGATTTGTTGTACTCTTCAAATCACATTTACTATTTGGCTACAAGGAAAGGAAACTCATTGATTAAAATATTATTTTGTCAGTAGTCTTAAGGGAAACTTTTATACATACTATATGAAATAAAAGATATTTCGATTTTACCATCCAGTATCAAATATTTTGGTGTATACCTAATGGACAAAAAATAATTACGCGATTGCCTAAATATCTGTAACCCTTTGTAACGTCCACCATTCCATATATTCTGTGCGTGATTTCCGCAACGTGACCAGGAANAAAAACGGAGGTGATCGATCGGTGATTCCAGGAAGAACAAGTTCGCGGTACATATACTTCAAGAACAAGCTAAACCGGAGGATTACAGGAAGAACAATTTCACGGAACATATACTGCAAAAACCGTGAATCATATACTGATCATATACTGTACATATACCACAACACAACACAAAACAGTAGATTCCATGGAAAATATACCGAAAATATACCTCAACACAACACAACACAAAATATACCGAAATCATCCGACATTATCCTGAATCGAAAATATACCGAAAATATACTGAACATAAATCATCCCCTGAAAAGGTATTTCTCTTCTCTCTCGTCGACTCCATGGAAAACGATTCTCGGATCGCCTACCTGGAGATGACGCGGGGATGGCTCGTAGACGATCTCGTCGAGGGAGTAGGAGTCGGTGGAGAATGGGTCGGCGTTGAAGGGGACATACTTGGCAGAGAAGCCGTGGGGCGAGGCGTGGCAGCGGGCCTCGTCGCGGATGTTCTCACCCGCGGGGCGGCGGTACTTGAGCGAGGCAAAGGCCGATGCGGCGGCGGAAAGGGGATCGGAGGATGTGGCGGACTTGTGTGAAGGGGGATCGGAGGAGTTGGAGGGTTTTGTGTGAGAAAAGAGAGAAAAGGCCATCTTTGAAGAAGAGAGAAGATGAGGGGAGAGGAGAGAGAATGAGAAGTTGCCATGTATTTAGGAAATTAGCTTTTTAGGCATATATGCAAATAAATATAATAAATTTAGTTAATTTGAATTTTATAAGGGATGTAATTATGTAATATTTTTAGATTGTTTAAGTGGAGAGTGCAAATTCCTCTAGTCTTAATGTACAAGAGACTTTAAGACTCCACTTGAATATTATAAAACTTTTATTGAACATTGTACAATTTTCTTGCGTATTATAAACTTTTATTGAATATTGCATCTTATAATATAATATTCTCCAAATAAATATATCTCGTGCTTTGCACGGGTCAGTACTATATATATCCCGTACATTTTTCTTTATTCATTATATAATTATAAGCCTGGATAAATAGCCTTAAAATTGTGCACCCCGTGCATCGCACGAGCTCTGTACTAGTGAAAAGGACAAATAGTCAAAATAACATTTTTCTTTGAAATCTTATTAACTCCTTAATAGTTTTGGCTCACACTCAACAAATTTTCTAGATCCGCCCCTGGCGGGATGGTACGAAAACTTTCTTATCTTACTCATGCAGACATAATAAAACATGCAACCAAATCAATCCATTACGGAAATAATGGAATCACACATGCAGTCTGATTGTCTCGCACTGTCTAGTTTAGCGGAAGCTTTAAACTGAAACATACATAACACACGCATACATATAAATACATGCTCATGAATTTAGGACATAAAATGCGTATAGAAATGTCCTCTGCTCATGACCACGATTGCCACGTCTGCTCACCCGGCACGCTGGACTCTGTCACCTGAAATAGAAAAAATTGTGGGAGTGTGAGCACATCTGCATGCTCGTGGGAAAACTGGAACTGTAATAATCTTAACTGTAAACATAAACTTAAAAGCAGCATAAAATAAATTAGTTGTACTGTACTGTAAATTGTTCTTGAACTTAAATTGTGGTCTAAAAGACCCTTGTTGGCCCTCGGCCGCTCGTGTGCACACCCCGATTAGAATATTAAGGCCCTTGGCCTCCATTGGGTACCAGGTGGAATATTAAGGCCCTCGGCCTCCAAATCCTGGGAGATATAACTGTCTCGAACATACCTCAGACATGATAAAGTAATTAGAGATGATGTGGAATCCAGTACATGACCCAAAAAAAAAAAAAAAAAAAAAACTAAACAATGCATTTGGTAATTTGGTTTTAAAGACAACGTTTATGTTAGATCTTAGATGCTGGTGAGTGGTGACTTAAACTTAATGGATCGGTATGTTTTTTATAATAGAATCAATACTCTTTGATAATTTGGTTTAAGTGAATACTTGAATGAGTGTGTTTGTTTAATCGAAAGCACGGAATCAATATGTTTGTTGTTTGCTTTAAATTTTAATGGAATCAATACAATTTGATTTAGTTTATATGTTTGTTTCGTTTTGTCTCGGTCTCGAACTGTTTTGTCCCGATCCCGAATGATATCGGTCCATTTGGGACGGTGCCTTATCCCGGATCGGTTCATAAAAACGAGACAGGTACCGGGACAAGTCAAATCAGGGACCGTCCCGGACCGCGCCCACCCATATATTCAACTGCTTATATGATCTTTTAGTCCAACATTTAATTTTTAAACATAACTTAATATGATCATTTGCCCGGGTGTCAAATTTATTATCCTGTTGGGATCCGACACTCGGGTGTTACTCTGTTGGGGTCCTTGTAGCTGTTTTAGTTGTTTGTGTTGCTGGTTAGTTTAGTTGCGAGTGTTTTTATTTTAATGTTGCTAGCCGGGTTTCTAGGCGGTTTTCTGACCTGTTCTCCCACTTTTTCAGCTGTTGGTTGCTGTGTATTCAGCCGTTGGCTGCTGAGTATTCGTACATTTGTGCATTTTGATTTATAATATTATCTATCGTTTTGGAAAAAAAAAATATGATCATTTAGTTGAACATTTAATTTTAAAAATTAACCTTAATATGTTTACTTAATCCAACGTAACTTAAAAATAATTCTTATATTACTTTCTCGTGAAGTATCAACATAAACATTTTCTACTAATGACTCGTCCACTCTCCTGGAATAAATAAAGTGTATAATTATATTGAAAACTTGGGTCAAATGATGCAGATACCATACAGACATTTTCAATAGTAAACTCAGGCATCGAATATATATATATATATATATAAAGGTTTAATTATATTTTTTAAATAGTAATATTTTCCTCCAAAAAAAATTAATTACTATTTCGGAAAATGAATTTAACAATTTATGGTATATTTCAAATGATCACTTATAGAAATTGCAGCTCATTATTTAAGAAAGTAATTAAGTCATATCTTAAGATACCTTAATTACTCAAATCATGTGAATTAATTAATACATGGTATATAGTGGACGAATTTATTTTTGGTATTGATGGTTGTTTCTATGGAAAATAAATTAATCAATATATGGTATAAAGTGAGTAACTTTATTTAGGTTAATTGATATTTGTTTTTTCATTGGAAATTTGTTGAAAAATAAATCAATATACAGTGTACTTTTTTATGTAATGCGCAGGCTCATATATTGGTATTTAGGCGTGGGTTGCAATTTTATTTCAATTTTTCGTATGAAATTAACATAATAAAATTACACTAACTCCGACAAAATAGTATGAACTGATATTTTGACATAATATGTTTGTATCGATATTTTTTTTTTTTATAGAAAAAGCTCTGTTCAAATATTTTTTTGTATAATTAGCGGGTCTCGATTTAATTCATTTTTTGTTACGATATTTCAAATAATTTTTGTTTGAAATGCACTGTTCATTTTTTTAGCATGATAAAGAATGTCTTTTTTTTTTGCATAAAAAATCTTATGTTTACTCAACTACTTAAATTTTTTGATTTGGATATTTTATACAAAAGTAAATTCATTTTAATTAATTAAACTATATAAGTTTTATATTTATACTTATTATTCACATAGGTTTTTAAATATATGATAAAATTTTACCAAAATAATTATTTTATGGAATCACGTTATAGGCAAATCGAATTTCTGAATAAAAATTTTGAAATGACACATATTTTGAAATGAATATAATGTATATATTATCAGTTATGTACAACGCACGAGAAGTGTACTAATTTTAAATAGACATTTTTATGTAATTTTGCACACTTTAAATTTTATGTAACTTTTTCAATAAATTATATAGGTACATATTGATTCAATGTTTCTAATTTATAAATATTATTTAATGATAATTTTTAATTTATAAATATTAATTAAAATCTCAACCCGTGCATCGCATGAGATTCGTACTATCTCTATTCCTAGAACTGATTATATCAAGGTTCACCTAGGGCTCGTTAAAGAAAATAAAAATATTGCACAAAACCTCAATATCAACTGCTCTTAGAAACAGATTAAAAGGCAGATAAATGTGCCGAGGTGCCTTCTGAGTTCTGCCAACAAAAAACCTCAACAGGTTAAAAGAAACGAGCTAAAAAGTGAAAGGACACAAGCATGTCATACTAGAATACAATTTTTGTTCAAGAAAAGCTCAATAAATTATGATGTTGGCACAACTGACCTACAGTGATGCTAAATTGCTGTATATTTGCGCAATTCAGATCGTAACAACTCACAACCGGCATCACATGAAGTTATGATCGAGGATATAATCCGCCTTTGACAATTCTTGAACTCAATTGCAAGCTTTACATCCCAACTTGCGCTTTCCCTATAAATGAAAATTTTCCATCAGTATACGCAGTGTGGTTCACTAATTTAATCGTGGGGCAAAATACAAGTTCTCCCTGAGTTTCAAATCTAATTTCTTTCAAAATTACACACTCAAAGATCATTTGATGTCATTACAAAACTACCCCCGACTACTGCACATTACTGTAACTACATAACAAAACCACACAACTTTTGAAATCACAGTTTCAACCTTAGGCTTGTGTTTACTTAGAAACAACTTCCTCTCAACGGTGAACTGCGGTACAATAAAATCAAACGTTGAGGATATGTATGATTTATTTAGAAGATAACTCTATGTTTTTGCCATTAGGTTTTATCTCAATCGCCGCTTTTGTAATTAACCCTTTGCATTTTTGTTACAAATTTCTCCACCTTCACCGAATAAGTGTAACTTCGTGAAAAAATGAAAGAAACACAAATGAGGCATTTGCAATTCTGAAGTTTAACGTGATATTGCAACAAATCTGAACCTCAAAGATGGTTTTTATAATTTATTTTGAATTATAATATATTTACACTTAGCCAAAAATTACCCTTCTTCCGGATTTTCTTCCTGGAGACCATCCATCATCCCTTCAAATGTAGATCTCAGGTCTCTAAGAACATCGATATCAGTTTCCAGGTGCTCCCGTGTCTGAAAAATCCAGTCATAAAAGAGGATTCACGAAAATAAGCATCTACACTACAAGAGCATGGTTTTCCTAAACTATTTCACAGTAAGCAGTGTCGAGTTTTACCAGGGTTTTTGATGGACTGGCTAAATTTCTGGCCCCACGTAGATGATCCAACAATGGAGTTGGCAAACCATAGTGAAAGATATTATGGTTCTTGGAGAGCCATGTTCCACGCACCATGTGCGAGCTCCATTCAGATGGACGTGCAACAAACTCAGATTCTTCATCAACATCAATATCTGAGAATGTTAAACATAGTAACAATAAATTAAATGTAAGACAAAAAGAAAACATAATTACAAGAAAACAGACCACTTGTTATAATTCAAATACCTCCTCTTGAGAGTACAATTTTAAAAATCAAAATAAATGTTAATAGGGGCATCTACAAAAAATATTACTATTTCATTTTTAATGATAGGACAAATCCCGCAGATATTTGTAGTTGTAATTCCATTTAAAGAGAATTCAATCGTAACTATTTAAGAAAGTTTAGAGTATCGCACATTTGACTTGTACTTAGTGTTACAAAATACCTAAATGAGGTAAGCTTGAGAAA